AAGCAAGGGAAGTGGTTTTAGACCTCCGTTTGACTTGAAATGAAAAATAAGGCAAAACAGTACCAGTGTGAACTTCTACAAAGCCTGGACAAAAGTAAGACAGCCATCTTGGCTGGTGCCTTCCTGTGGCTTTCTTTGCAGACAGGAAGGCCCACAGAAGGGCATACAAGGATGTCACTTGTGGGCATTCCTGGAGCACTACTGCCATTGTGACAAAATAGTTTCCGTACAAAATATGCCTCATGTATGCTAGCACTTAGGAGAACAGTTGGAAGAGATTTGGGCTCCAAGTTGGACATCCTTGTGTTTTCCTAGGCCTAAAAAAGATGGAAAGACTGGAGCCATATTGGTTTTGATGTTGTATTTAATGAGAAAATTATATATGCTAATAAGTAATTCACTATTTTATGTGGTCTCAAGAAGAAAAAAAAGTGGCTTTAAAAAAGAATCAGATATCCTAGCTACTCAGGAGGCTGAGATCTGAGGATCGCGGTTCAAAGCCAGCCCAAGCAGGAGAGACTGTGAGACTCCTATCTCCAATAAACCACCAGAAAACCGGAAGTGGCGCTGTAGCTCAAGTGATAGAGCGCTCGCCTTGAGCTGAAGAGCTGAGGGACAGCGCCCAGGCCCAGAGTTCAAGCCCCACGGCCGACCAAAAAAAAAAAAAAAAAGAATCAGATATAGGTGTCTATCAAAAAAAAAAAAAAAAAAAAGGCCAGGAACTGGTGACTCACGCCTGTAATACTAGCTACTCAGGAGGCTGAGAACTGAGGATCATGGTTCAAAGCCAGCCCAGGCAGGAATGTCCATGAGACTTTTATCACTAATAAATCAGTCAGAAAAACAGAAGTGATGCTGTGGCTCAAGTGGTAGAGCACTAGCCTTTAGCTGAAGAGTTGAGGGATAATGCCCAGGCTAAGAGTTCAAGCCCCAAAACTGACAGACAAAACACACACACACACACACACACACACAAAATAGGTATCTGAAGCTTACTCAGTGCTTTATTTGATATAGTCCTTTTAAGTTGTATCAAATCCAATTTTTAAAAAATAAGTGTTTATCACTTTTACTTGCAAACTCATAACTCATACTCCAGAAACTGAGATCTAAAGGATCATGGTTAAAATCGAACCTAGTCAAATAAGTTTGATAAGAGTCCATTTCTACAATAACTAGCAAAGAGCAGGACTAAGTCTCAAATGATAGTTAGCCTAGCAAACATAAAGGCTGAGCTCAAACCCAGGTACCAACCAACCAACAAATCACAACAAAAGTTTTTTTTCTACTTTTCATTTTAAAAAAAAAAAGTGGGCCTGGTGCTGGTGGCTCATGCCTGCAATCCTAGCTACTCAGGAGGATGAGATCAGAAGATCATGGTTTGAAACCAGCACAGGCAGAAAAGTCCCCGTGAGACTCTTATCTCCAATTAACTATCAGAAAATGGGAAATGTAGCCGTGCCTAAAAGAAGTAGAGCGCTAGCGAAGTAAAAATCTCAATGGGTAATATTAAAAGAGCATTTTTTAGCAACAGAAAACTGCAAAACCAAGGGAGATTATGGAGACAATGTATAAACACGTGTTGTTCCGTGTGAGGCATATCGACGTGTTCTTCCATATTTTGCATGTTGACATGCAACAGAGACAGTTCATACGGACTGTTGAAATAAGGCAATGGACAGGTCTTACAAATTCCTAATTCAGTGGTAAGGCAGAACACAGGTATCATTTCATAGCCTTGGAGATAACTCTTCTAGGTTACTAGAGATGCATGGCATTGGATTGTCAGCACATTCTTCTTTTCATAAGGTTGGATGTCCAATTCATTTTGTGTCAGAGCAATTTTATGTAGTGGGAAAAACACTGAACATAACATGCTGAGCAGACAAATGAAAATGTGCAAAACTGCATGGGCAACAAAGAGTGAAAATTACATCAGAGATAGCAAGAACCTGGATGAGTGGTGCTATTTGGGCTCATATTGGATTCACATGGGAAACCAAGGTAGCCCCCAACTAGTTAGCCTGTTCAGTCAAGCTGAACAAAAACCCAAAGCATCTAAATCTGCTGGTGCCTTTACCACAGAGTGGTGTTTTTTTCTAGACGGAAAGGGTGGGAGAAGAGCGCGAAGGTTTCTGTAGTCTGTGGAGCGCTACTGCCATCCTGAGGAAAACGATTCCAAGAAGCAATGCACCATTACAGCTCCTTCCCATGAGGCATAGTAAATGGCGGAAGGTATTTTTTCCTACAGGGACTTGGAAGACATGCAAACACCAGGGTGGCCAGATTTACCTTCTCCTAAAGTCATAGAGAAAACCAGGAACTGTGACGTATCATTGTGGCATAGAAGCTGGAGAGTGTATAACCTGGAGTGGTGTGTGTCAGATGATAGTGATGATACTGAAGCAGGAAGTTGTAGGGTAGAGCTTCTGTTTCTTAGTGTTTGCAATACTAAAAGAACATGAAAAACAGATGTTATTCTTCAAATGGATGTTCTAGGAGAGTTAGCAAGAATTCAAAAGGTATGAGTTTACTATCAGGCTTTGAGTTTATCCTAACTATTCTCGGAAATAAAGGACAGGCCTGTTTGTAAAAGAAGTTTCGATGACTTTGGCAATCTCCAATGAGTCCAGTTTTAAAAAAAAAAAAAAGAGGTCAAGAATGGGTTTAGTCCCATTTGATTTCCTCAGTTGCTGACTTCTTCTGTCCCTTTGCTGAATTTCCTTGGAGAAAATGTCCTTGGGTTGGGATTGCTGAAACTATTTCTGCAAGATGCAGTGTTTACCTTCAAAACCCAAGAATTCTCCTTCTCCATCCATTTTTGTTTGTTTCTTTGGGGTTTTTTGTTTTGTTTGGGGGGGTACTGGTTCTAAGCCTTGAACTCAGAGTCTGGACAACTGTTCCTGAGCTTTTTTGCTCAAAGCTACACATTACCACTTTGATTCACAGCTCCACCTCTGGCTTTTTAGTAGTTCATTGGAGAAGAGAGTCTTTTCTGTCTCTGCTGGCTTTAAATTGAAATCTTCAGGTCTCAGCTTCCTGGGTAGCTAGGATTACAGGAAGTAGCCCAGTTGCTCAAGTGGTAAAGCACTAGCCTTGAGCTGAAGAGCTGAGGGACATTGCCCAGGCCCAAAGTTCAAGCCCCATGACTGACTAAATAAATAAATAAATACCACAATAGATGTGTATATAAATTGATCAGTTACCTCTTTCATTTTCACTTATGGCTCTTGAGTAGGTTTTGGCACATTCCCTTAAATTTTTTTTTAAAGATTGCAATTCCTGGAATTTAGAAAATGGAGCATTTATTGATATTCTTGTTTGCCTTTCTCATGACAAAATATTCAGGTTGCATTTAATATTTTTTTCCATAAAAGTCTTTATTTTTCTATGGATAATCTTATATACACATCTCAAAAATAAATAAAGAGGCTCACATTTTGCTAAAGTTTGTACCCTAAAATCTTCTTTGAAAATATCTTATCTTCAGATTCTGCCCCCTTGTCATATGAATGAATGTGTTTCAGCACTTGGATAGCTGAGGTAGGAGCATCATGAAATTCAGGCCAGCTTCATCAAGATAACTTGTCCTCATCAGAAAAAAAAACAACAACAACAATGAAATATAAGCATAAATTTATATTGTGCATAGTATATATTTATATTACTTATATATTACAAATTTATTTATATAATACTGTATAACAATATATGATATGTAATATTATATATCAATAATATATTTTATATTATATGAATTCTAGAGAACAGTGTTGAAATTGGAAACTTTCAAATTCAATCACATAGAAAGTTCCCTGAATATACTTTGAGATGAATATATTGAATATATTCATATTTCTCATCTAGACATCAGATCTTCACGAGTCCTAATGGACAAGAGTAGACATAACTATAGTGTGAGATGGAAAAGGAAGAAAAAGATAGTATTTAAAGCCTGTTCCGTGAAGAGAAACAAGAAACAGCCATATTTGCTGGCTCCTTTGTCTATGGTTAGAGGTTATGGATTTTTTTTTCAGACAATAAGGGCGGGAGGAGAGCAGTCCAACATGGCAGCTCTAGCTCATTCGTGGTGCACTACTGCCATCATGCGGGTATAGTTTCTAAAAGCCATGCAACATTATATTATCCTCCATTACACATAGCAGTTGAGGGAAGAGGAATTCTAAAGAACTTTTGGGAGCCATTTGGGCTTCAAGATGGAACATTTCACCTTCTCCAGAAGGTGACCTGGACACTGCAGGCATGCTGGCACAAAACCGGGAGTGGGGGGTGGGGAGGGAAACGGATGAGATCTGGAGTGGACCCCCACTTGTCAGAAGACAAGAACACAGGAAGTCCTGGGGAGGGGTTTCTGTTCCTCCAAATGTGTACAATGAGAATAGTAATAAGAAGAATCAATAAAAAACAGACAGATGTTTTTAGCGACTTTCCTTTTTCTGATCCCACAAAGGACTGTTAGCAGAATTTCACAAGGTACCACTTTTCTACTGGGCTTTGGGTCCATTTTAGATATTCTCAGGATATAATGCACAATCCTTATAAAAGGAAGTTTAGATGACTTTGGCAGACTGCAAATAAATCTCAGATTTCTTTTTAATTGGCAAAGCAATGATAATTCAGTTTTAGTTTGACTTTCTAAGGTTCTACCTTCCTCAAACGGCTCGCAGTTTCTCGGAGGAAATATTTTGGCTTTAGGATTTCTGAACCTATTTCCACAAAATGGCAGTGTTTACCTTCAGTTGACAATGTCGCCTGGAGACGTTCTTCCCGACTTTACAAAAATAAAATAAAATAGACAAAGGCTGCAAATAGTTTTTAAACGACCTTTTTGTTGTTGTTTGTTTCATTAAACACGATCATCCTTTGGAATATTGTTTGGGGGTTTCCTTTTGATATCAAATGTGTGATCCGGTAAAGAAAACTGGGCTTAAATGTAGGAATTGGTGATTTTTTTTTTTTTTTTTTTTATAGACAAGAAGGGCGGGAGGAGAGTACGCTAAAATGGTGGTTCTGGAGTTCTTATGGTGCTCTACTGCCATCATCAGGATATAGTTTCTACAAGCTGTGCACAATTAGAGGATCTTTCCCATGAGGCATTGCAGTTGGCGGAAGGGGTGTCCTAGAGAGCCTTGGAAGCCCCTTGGGCACCAAGCTCAGCCATTTCACCTTTTCCTAAAACACCTAAGAGACTAAAACTTGGGTTTCATCTTGAGGTAAACCTAGAAAGCCAGGTAGACATTGACACCAAGGCCTGTGATCGGGTCAGTGTGAGCAATATCAATTCAAAACAAAATGAATGAGGAAGTGGCCATGTTTCTCAAGTGGTAGAGCATTTGCCTTGAGCTGAAGAGCTCAGGGACAGTGCCCAGGCCCGGAATTCAAGCCCACCACCGACAACACAAAATAAAATAACATGAATGATTCTTGGCAATGGTTCTAGCCTCTATTGGTGGTTTCGAGCAAAAATTAGCAGGATTTCACAAGGAGCCACAATCATTAGCCACTAGATCCCTCCTAACTTCTGTATTTTAATGTACAAGACATGTACCAACAGCTTCCACTAACATATGTAGTCTGTAGTGACTCAGAGGAAGCACAGCGAAGGTCCAAGAAATGTCTCAGAAGAAATTGTAAATGGGGAAGCCATACAATTCTGTAAAACTTTCTAAAGGATGGGCAATGGTGGCATGGGCAATTGGGCCTAAGGAATATAATGGAAATGTTCAGCATCTTCCTATAATATGGATCATATATCTATCCATGAATTATACAATAAAGCCTTCTAGCAATAAGAATATATACTAAGGGTTGGGAAGGTGGTTCAGTGGTAGAGTGCCTGCCTTGTATGCATGAGGCCCTGGGTTCGATTCCTCAGCACCACATAAGCAGAAAAAGCTGGAAGTGGCACTGTGGCTCAAGTGGTAGAGCGCTAGCTTTGAGCTGAAGAGCTGAGGGACAGCGCCCAGGCCCAGAGTTAAGGCCGCATGACCGACCAAAAAGAAAAGAAAAAAAAAAGATATATACTAATAAAACATATTTGAGGAGAAAATTTTAAGTTTTCAAATTCATTGTTTTGTATATATCAAGTTTTACTCTGTAAGCTTTTAAGAGAGGGTCTTGCTATGGACCACAGGCTGTCTTGAAATTTTCTGTACGGTATGGACTGTCATGAACGTACTAAACCTCCTGCTTTGGGCTCCTGAGAGCTGGGAGAAGAGGTATAGAATCCAACAGTATCTTCCACATTAAAGTTCTTTTAGCCTCAAACTATAAATCCATTCACAATTATCCATATCCTTTCCCTACAATTCCATATCTGATTGATTATAAAGATGCCCCACAGGCCTGTTCTCTCCTCAAACTTAAGAAAAAAATTCCCTGAAACCTTTTTTCTAGGCCTGAGGGCATGACAAGTTTAATGGTAGTACCTTTGTCTAACTTGAGACCCTGTTTTGGTCACCTGTCCAGGCAAGAACAAATCAAAAATCAACAGGACAAAAAGTCATCCAGTACTCCAGTGCTTCTGTCACAAGGTCCTGTGTCTCCTCCTCTAGCCACAGGAGTAATTTATTTGTCTGCATAATTAATTCTGTATAGGCTTTAATCCACAACAACCAAACCTGCCAGATCCACCTAGTAATCAGTTGACATTTCTCTTGATTCAAAAGCCTAGCCAACTGAGCCCTGATTCTTAGTCTCCGTAAAAGATCTACACCACACCTCTGCATTTGTGCATTGCTCCGACCCAATGGCAGAAGAAATGTTTGGGAAGTCATTCAGGTCTTCATCCATTTGACCACCTGGAGCCCTACCTACCTCAGCCACTAGGATTGTAAGGAGGAAATGCTCCCGGCCTACAGATTTCTGAAATGATTTCTGCACGATGGCAGTGTTGCCCCACAACAGCCAGAGCCTTGCCTGTCAGAGCTCTACTCCGCCTTTCCTGTTTAGGAAAAAAAAATGCCAATCACAAAAACTGGCACCCAAAATTTGGTTATCTGCCTTTTTTTTTTTGGTTGTTCCATTGAAGGAAACATGCTCCTCTTTTAGGATTTTTCTTTGGGTTTAAACTTGATAACAAGTAAGAGTCAACATAACCCATTCAATCCCAAACCTCCTTACCTCCCCGGACAGACCAATTGAAAGACAGAATAGAATATCAAGAATCTTCTCTTTTAGGGCTGGGAAGGTGGCTCAGTGTAGAGCGCTTGCCTTGCATGCCTGAGGCCCTGGGTTCGATTCCTCAGCACCACATAAGCAAAAAGCTGGAAGTGGCGCTGTGGCTCAAGTGGTACAGCGCTAGCCTTGAGCTGAAGAGCTGAGGGACAGTGCCCAGGTCCAGAGTTCAGGCCCCACGACCAGATCCAAAAAAAAAAAAAAAAAAAAGAATGCTGTAAGAATCTTCTCTTTTGAAGAACTCACGTCCCACAAGACCAAATCTTTGTGCATTATTCTGGGTCCAGTATTTCCTCATGATGTCTAATTGACTTGTGGTCTTGGGGTCAACCTCAGGAATCCACTGCTAAAACAGAAACAGGAATCATTTATACTTCAGGATTTAGAGAAGACAAAACCTAGGCCTAGGACACTCAGTTGTCACTCTGGTTCACTTTCCAAGTTCTCTGGGAGTCCTGCTTTAGTGGTGCTCTAAGAACAGGGTCCAGAGAGCTCTCAAGACTTAATGTTATGTGGCTGGAAATGTGGCTCTGTGGTAGAGTGCTTGCCTTGCATGCATAAAGCAATGGGTTCGATTCCTCAGTACCACATAAATAGAAAAGGCCGGAAATGGTACTGTCGCTCAAGTGCTAGCCTTGAGCAAAAGCAGCTCACGGACTGTGTCTAGGTCCTGAGTTCAAGTGCCAGGACTGAGAAAGAAAGGAAAGAAAGAAAGAAAGAAAGAAAGAAGGAAAGAAGGAAAGAAAGAAGGAAGGAAAGAAGGAAGGAAAGAGTAAGAGAGAGAAAGAGAGAGAGAAAGAAAGAAAGAAAGAACAATATTATGCATAATGCCTATATTCCTATCAGATCACAGGATTGTCTAAAAGTTTCATCATTCAACCTTGGAGCATAAGCATGTGTCCTCATTTTTAAAGGGCCTATGACTATTTCCCATGACTTTACTGTGGATACCTATTACAGTTGTTCATTTAAGGAGCAATCTTCTACTTTCTCATTAGTAAGGACATCATGCTTTGTGACAAACATTCAGAAACTAGCCATATACTAACGAGAAAAGCACTGTTATCTAGCTTTGTACTAAACATCACTAACGGTTTGCTTATTTACCTCAATTCCTTCAGCACCAAGTCACAATGTTATACATAAACCATGAAAAATTTGCATATAAATTGACGAGTTACACATTGCATTTCAGAACAAATGTTTTGCTTCTGATTCTGTAGATGTCAAAAACCATCCATAATTTCATAAACTTTGAAAATTACATATACACAAAATATTCGCCAAGTGCCCATGGCTCACACCCCTAACCCTAGCTCCTCAGGAGGCTGAGATCTGTTCTAGTTCAAAGCCAGCCCAGGCAAGGAAAATCCATGACACTCTACCTCCAATCAAGTGTTAGAGCGCTTGCATTGAGCTAAAAAGCTCAGGGACAGCATGCCTAGGCCCAGAGTTCAAGCCCCAGGACCCACACACACACACACACACACACACACAAAATTGTTTGCTTTGTTGACCAAATAGTGTTCATGTAACAATTATTATCCAAAAATATCATTTATGTAAATATGTGTATAAATATGCATTATGGAAAATGCATGTATATTGTGTAACACATAAAATATATGTATATATCTGTATAAAAATCTCAAATATTTTATACCTGCATTTTAACCTCCATTTTTCTTTTTTATACTCACTGAGACTTGAATTCTTAGACTTCTACCTCTTGAATGTTTTTTTGTGGTTGTTGCTGTTCAAGCCTTGAACCACAGCTTCATTTCCAGATTTTTGTTAGTCAATTGGAAATGAGAGTCTCATAGACTTTTCTTCCATGGGCTGGCTTCAAGATGCAGTTCTCAGAACTGAAACTCCTGAGTAGCTAGGATTACAGGACTAAGCCTCTGGCACCTGACCTGGTGGTTAGTTACTTAAATGTAATGCCATGACCACTTCACTTCATAGGAAGACATCTCTGGGAAACAATAATACAAGAAAATCTTTTTTTTTTGGGGGGGGGGGGGGTCCGGTTGTGGGGCTTGAACTCTGGGCCTGGGCGCTGTCCCTCAGGTCTTCAGCTCAAGGCTAGCGCTCTACCACTTGAGCCACAGCACCACGTCTGGCTTTTTTCTTTTTGCTTTTGTGGTGCTGAGGAATCGAACCCAGGGCCTCATGCATGCAAGGCAAGCGCTCTACCACTGAGCCAACTTCCCAGCCCCAATACAAGAAAATCTTACCTTCAACAATGAAAGCAAGCGAAATGTTTATAGTTCAAATTCTGTCACCCAGTCTTGAGCACTGATGGATTTATTCACAGTATTAATAGGTTAATGTAACAGCTTCACCATACTTAAATTTATGAATACTTGAAGTTATAACTAATTTTAGTTTGAGGTTTACATTACTATTTGGACAAGTATCTGTAATAATTCTTTAGCCATTTCAACAATTTGAGGCAATTGGATAGCAATGCTGCTAAATGATTCCACTGGTTCCAGGATATGAGCCTGGAGATCTTAGGCAAACATACCTGTTCCTGCAGTAAGCCCTGGATAGGGTACTTTCTAATTCTCCATGTCATGACAACGGATCCATATGAAATTCACATCAAATAGAATTGTACTAACTGACTCAGAGAGAGAGAGAGAGAGAGAGAGAGAGCACCAACCTGACTTGCAGTAAAATCCTCTAATTCTCCCCACACTGGGTATAAGACTTTATCTTGCCTATGACTTCCTATTTAGAAATTCTAAGTATTTACTAGCTTAGTATGACATTTACCCTTCCAGGTTCAATACTAGACATCCCAAATGATCAGGTGTTTTTTAAGGCATTA